ATATAAATTTTTTTATTGTTGTTTTTCTTTTAGTCGAAGATAATAGTCGTGAAATAATTCAATCTGCATGTCGTTCAATAGGATCAGTAAAAGATAATGAATTTGATGTTCGTTTTAATCCTGATCTATTTCAACCACATGTAACATTAAATCAAATGGTATAAAAAAATTCTTTTAGCCATTTTTTTTTGAAAATTATTTGTTTTTTCTAGCCTGCAGAAACAGCAGCTGATATAAAATTATTAAAAGAAGCAGCAGAATATTTAGTATTAAAACAAATTCCATTAATGATACAAGATTTTCAAGATCATTCAGCTGTGCCAGTCGATGGTGAAAGCCTATCAGAAGCTATGCATTCAAGGTATTTTACTAATTCGATTTTTTTTGACAAAAGACAAATTTTGAATATTATTATTTAGAGGAATTAATATTCGTTATCTTGGTCGAGTGGCTCAACTTCTTAATCAACAATCATCACTTTTTTATATTTATGTAAATAATAAATCTCATGAATTGTTTTTTCTAATAATTTTTGTTTTTTTTGACATATAGGATATTACTATAACAGAAATTCTTTGTCGAAGTGCAAAACATCTTTTTCGTAGTTATACACAATCCGTACCACTTCATTTATTATCATTTTCAATAAGTCATTTTCTAAATTGTTTTCTAACAATTACAATTTCACCATCATCAGAATTTTTATCTGATGAATTTTTATCATCACCATCATCATCTTCAACATCAACAAATAATGGTACAATAAATACAAATTCATCATTAACAAATTTAACAAATTCTTCATCTCAAAAAACTACGAATAAGAAAAAAAATAAAAAACATCAACAACGTAAACAAAATCCATTTATACGAAATGGTAAGACAAAAAATATATATGTAATAATTATATTACAATTAAACATTTTTGGATTTGAATTAGAGAGCAGCGGGTCCATAAAAACTTGTAATCGGATCCGACAAAAAATAAAAAGTTGGATCCGGATCCGGTAAAAAATAAAACTTTGGACTCGATCGGACCTGGGAGGACAGCAACTCTCTAATCTGAACCACATTCCTAAGTTCAACGAAATTATTTACTCTGCGCGAGATAATCGTTTCGAATCCTACCACTAGCACACCCTACACATTTCTCAGACAACTTTGATGATGGTCGTAAAATAATCAAGTCATAGTTGGGTGTTATGTTTAGAGTATTGCCTATCAGGTTGGTCTCACTTAGCCCAGAATAAGATCTGGTCGAATTCGAGATCAATGTTTCTAATGGATATTGAAAACAAAAATTTTTTTTTACATCTTGTTCATACTATTAAAGTGTACATGTACATCTTCTTTTCATAAGCAGAGCGGATCAAAATGTACAACGACGAAGTTTTATAAAGAACGTATTAGAAAAAAAACAAATAATCCTGGTTCATTCGATGAAAAAAAATATGAGTAGCGAAAAATACACATTTTTTATCTTTTTTCTCCTGATATAATCAAAGAGAGATTGGAGTATACAAGGAAAAAGTTATGTTTTCTAAAACAAAATTAAATTTAATATTTTTCCATTAAAAAAAATATATCCATTTATCTTGAAAAAAAACTTATTTTTATTCAACAAAGTGTACTACGTACATTCTGCTGCTCTGTGCAATATATAAAACAGGCTGTATGTCAAAAGCAGCAGAAATTCCATACACTCTGCTTCTGTTTAGTACAATTGAGAGTATAAATACTGTTCGGAATCAACTCAACGAACTCTAATTGCAGCTTTATGACTAATAACTGTCATGAGATGTTTGTAGATGTCCTTCTCTAACTTTCATATATGTAGTTTTCTAGATAGTATCGGTTATCTATTAGCTCTTTGCAATCAATAGTAATAATATTCTCTAGATAGTTACAAGTTCATCATCTGTAAATATTATAATCACAAGCATATGTTTGATATTTTCTTCGCTATATTAAACAAAAATAAGCAATAATTGATATATATGAAATGATTATCATCTGACTCATTATTGACTATCACTTGTTTTTCTTATCTTTTATAACGGAAATAGATCGTTGATAGTTGTTATGAACCAAAAGATAAAATTCATCATTCAGATATTTCATGCTGATAGTTTGAAATTATCTTTGTTTTTTCTGATTGTTTTTCATCAAGATAACTTTATTTTAGAATCATTAGACTTTTTATCATTAACATCTAAAATACTTTGGTCACAATTAACAAATGAAGCTAAATCAAGATATAATTTTGATTTAAACTGGTAAATAATATTAAATTAAATTTTTTTTAAATTTATTTTTCTCTTATTTCAGCGATGATATTGAAAATTTTCTTGAAAAATATAATGTTCGTCGTACATGTATTTTACGTTCATTTTGTTCAAAAACTGGTTTACAATTATCTATGCGTGAATATCAATTTGATCTTACAAATAAATCAACACGTACAAATAATGAATGTTTTAATGAAGAAGATATTATTAATATATATCCTCTAATTAAACAAGTTCCTCCAAAAGTAAAAACAAAACTATTAACATAATTCTTGCACTATTTAAATGTGAAATACGATATACTAGTTACTGTTGCTAATTACAGACAGATTTCTTCAATGTTGTTATGAGATGAATAGAATTGAGATGATCTGTTGTGGAAGAGATCGACCCACGTTGCGTATCATTTTCCCCCTTCCACCATCTCTAAAAAAAACATTGATAACCTTGATCTCATCTATGGAATGCAAATTTTTGCAACACTCCTTTTTGAATCGTGTTTATTTGATAATTCTTTTTTTGTTATTTATATAGCCAAGTGATGCTTATCAATTTTTTACAACTGGTCAACAAAAAATTCAACAAGGTTTACTTCGTGAAGGTTTTGAATTAATATCAGAAGCACATAATTTATTAAATAATGTTTATGGACCTATGCATCCAGAAATTAGTATGTGTTTAAGATTATTAGCACGATTAAATTATATAATGGGTGATTATCAAGAAGCACTTTATACACAACATAAAGCTGTTATGATGTCGGAACGTGTATTAGGTATTGATCATCCACAAACAGCAACTGAATATGTAAATTTTAAAAAAATAAAAAAATAAACATTGAAAAAAAAAGATTTTGTTTTTTAATTTAGATTCATATGGCACTTTATTCATTTGCAAATAATCATTCAATAAATGCATCGAAATTACTTTGCCGTGCTAGATATATTATTTTAGCATGTTGTGGAGAAAATCATCCACAAATTAGTTTAATTGATGTAAGAAGAGATTACTGATTAAACATGTTTAGAGAGTTTTTTAATTATTATTATTATTATTATAGAGCAATCTTGGATTAATCTTACAATCATATGGAGATTATGAAAATGCGTTGAAATTTATGGAAAAATCACTTGAATTAAATAAAAAGTAAGTTTTAAGTATCATTTGTAAAAAAAGAAGAAAAAAAGAATTAATTAATCATGGATTTCCAGCACAGTTGAGAATCTGCCGCTGCCATGGACATCTTTGCAATTAATACAAGTGATCTAATGATAACCCATGAGGATAACTTTTTTTAGCCTCAATAGACTCTACCTAATAAGGAATGTCTTATGCCAAATGCACTATATTACCTATGGGAATATTTTTCGTTTGAAGATCTGCATCTTTGGAAAAAAAATAGTAAAACATTGATTAAACATCTGACAAACCATATTAAAAATGCTCTATTTTGGTCGAAAGAGGTTTTTTTTATTGAGTTACTTTCCTTTATGTGATTGGTTGATGTAGAGAGGCATATTAGTATAAATATGGAGAAAAAGAAACTTCATGTATGTCCTTAAGATAACAATTTATAAAATCTCTTTATTTATTTTTTTATTAGATTTTATGGCTTAAAAAGTCTTAAAGTAGCATTATCTCATCATCTTTGTGCACGTATTCAATCATGTCGTGGTGATTTTCGATCAGCATTAAATAGTGAACGTGAAGCTTATCAAATATATAAATTACAAGTAAGAAAAAAAACTAAGACAATCCTTGAAACTGATCGATTTTCTTTTTATATTTAGCTTGGTGATGAACATGAACGAACACGTGAGAGTGCTCAAGTACTTCAACATTTAACTGAACAAGCTGTTGTTTTACAAAAACGAATGAATGATGTTGTTAAAGGACAATTACTTATGATACCAAGCATAACTGTATATTGTTTTTTAATTTGATTTTTTAAAAATAAAAAAAAAACCTAAATTATATTTAGATTCAACAACCAAGTTTTCAAAATGTTTTAGAAATGCTTAATGTTGTTAATGGTATTTTATTTATACAAATTCGTGAAAAAGATCTTGATTTATTACGTGAAGAATTAGCTAAACAATCAATTGATGATCAACAACAACAACAACAAACATCAACATCTTCGATTAAAACAATATCAGAAGTAGCTGAAGAAGCAGCAGCATTAATGAATAATGAAGTTGATTGAAAACAAAAAAAATGAACATTACAGGCGATGAAATTTTTCTTTTTGTGCCTGATAGTCTGATATTCTTTTGTAGCTTGTAGGTGAATTTTCTTTCTATATCTGTGTGTACGTGTGTGTGTGTGTATTTGTTTGTTTGTTGAGAACCTCTTGTTGTCTAGTCTTTTCTGTTTTTGTTTGGTAGACCCAGGTATCTAGCTTAACACCTTATTCTGTTGACAGTGTGATTGTGTTTTTTTTTTTCATTGAGTTACATTAGGAAAATGTGGTATTTCATAACCGATTCTTTTCTATATCTGACTTTGTTGTTTCTTTTTTTTCCGAAAAATTTCTTCTGTTTACTTGATCGATTCGTTTAGATCTATGAAAGGTGTTTTTTTGTTTATTTTTTTCTAGTAAATATATACAAGAAAAACAAAAAACAGAAAAATTTTTTTTTGTACCTAATTTGAATTATATATATGAATTTTTGTCATTTTACAGAAAAGACAAAAAAAAAGAATTAATTGATGGCTTTAAGTTCAGCATTTTCGATTATTTGGTTGGATGCTCATATTGGTTTAAATGATCAATGTAGAGATTTAAAAAAATTATTTCAAGCAGAACTTGCACCAGCTGCAGCAGAATTTCCAATTCCAATAGATCCTATTGATCAAATGATATGTTGTATAAGAGAATTAGCTGCACCGATTTCATTTGCATCGTTAATAGAAGATGCATTAGAACTTATTGATACACATTTATATAATCAAAAAAAAGTTATATTAATTACATCAGCTACATTAGGAAAAAATATTATTCCTGAAATTCAACAACGAGATTTTCCTATTCATACCTATTACATATTTTGTGGTTGTATTAAAAATCATATTGAATGGGTTTTCGAATATCTTGAACAAGGTATTGAAATACAAATGTTTGATTTTGAAATTGATCTTTTATTACGTTTATCAAGAGACTTAAGTAATGAATTAATTGAACAAGGCAAAAAATTATTGGCTAATAATCCTCAATCAGCTTTGAATTATTTTGAATGTGCTCGTGCATTAGCTGAAAAAGCTGTTGAACGTGATGCACCCAGAAATGAACGCGATTTGCATCGTCCATCGACTAAACATCGAGATATATTAGATGGTGAGGATGGTCTTATTGCACAAGCTACACGAGCATGTAATGGCCGTAGTTGATAACACTTGTTTTTATTATTTGTATTATAGTATATAAACAGGATCCACTTTATGTGTAATATTATGATTAATACATGTTTTTAGTTTTTTAACATCTAAATATAATTCATCTGTTGTAGATTTGTTTCTAACATATGTTCTCAAAAAATTTAATAAATGTGAAACATTCAATATTGTGATTGTTATAAATAGACCATAACATCATATATTGCTGCTGGTCCAAAGAATCTCAGCTACTTCTTTATATATTGATTCCACTTTTTCAGCAGTTTTTGTACTCATCTGCAGTCAAAATACCATGATATTTAGAAAACAGTTCTTTTTCATTTATATGTTTTACTTTAATTTTGAATTATTATGTAACTTCGCATAACTTTTATGGTAGCTTGATAAATCAGAACCTCTAGTTCGAGTACAAGAGAAGATGATATGGAAATTACTATGTTTTTACATTTTTTTAATTATAGTGAAATATATTATGCACTTTAATGAATACTATTGATGCACTATCCATGCATTTAAATATAGTAAAGAAAATAATAACACTGATTATCATCAAGGATTTAGCAACGATATGTTTAGCACCTGCATCAATTTATTTAATTATTAAAATGATCAAATCAGACGTATATTTAAAGATTTTATAAGATGTAGGTAATATTTGAAGGTCGAAGAAATTCATTCAAGTGATGGTCGTTGTCAAGGTCATACAATAATTCAGATTATTTTATTTCTATGTCAATCGATGGCATACCAATAATAAACATTTAAAAATAGATGCAAACATTGCTACTTCGTTACTAATCAAATAAAAAATGCCAAATCAATAATGCCTATTCTTACTTAGAAATCAAAGTTGACAGAAACCATATAGTTATTTCATATGATCTGACTATTGATAGAGAAAAAGAAAAAAAATTAAACAACATAGTGACAATCCTATAGCCATTGTCATTGAGAAGTAAGTCACAGTTAACTAATCAAGCAATTTTTTACTATGGGTTGCAATCCAACCAAAATTCGTCTATCTGTTGCAAATGTTAGTCAACCTAATGATGTTAAACAGAAATCAGAATCATTGAATGAATTTAATGAACAGCATTCATTAGTTGTAGTTTCAAATGTTTCTATCGATCTGTCACCTATAGACAATAATGCATTCTCAACAATTGTTTGTCAACAACGACAAAAGGCTATTGACAATATGACTTATAGAACAGCTATTGATACATGGCGACCTTCATCAATTGAAGAACTTATTAGTTCTATTCAAGAATTATCTGCTCATGAAAATCAAATCGATCGAGCTTGGATTATTTTCTATTGGATTAGTCAAAATATCAGTTATAATACAGATGCCTTTTTTAGTAACCAAATTGAAACACAAAATGCTCATACTATATTTCAAAGTGGAAAAGCAGTTTGTGAAGGTTATTCATCATTATATACGGAATTATGTAATCGATCTGGAATTCAATGTCGCAATGTAAATGGCTATGGAAAAGGATTTGGATTTGATGTGCGTCAAACAAATTTTGATAAAACAAATCATGCATGGAATATTATTACATTAAACAATGGTCATTCATATTTTATCGAATCGACATGGGGTTCGGGTCATGTTGATCATTTAACACATCAATATAAAAAACAATTAGTTCCTCATTATTTTTTATGTCGACCAGAACATATGATCTATAAACACCTACCTATAGATGATGAATGTCAACTTCTTGCACATCCAATAACAATGAAACAGTATCTTATGTTACCTTACATATATCCAGCATTTTTTACATTCGATTTGCATATTATTTCACCTGTTCACTCAGCTAAAGTCGATCTGATCAAAGATAAATCATATGGACTAGTGCTTATTCAAACATCAAATAATAATATCGAATTATCCGGTTATTTAGAAGATGAAGCAGGCAACAAAATTCAAGGCGGACATTTTATTTATTTAGATAAAAAAGATCAAACATTATGGCGATGTCAATTTGCTCCACCAAAACCTGGAAAATACAATATTATCATTTTTGCTGGAGAAAAAAATCATCAAGATCAATGCTTTTCAGCTGCTGCTGTCCAGTTTGCTTTTGATGTCGATCATCTTCCATCGTCACCTATTTCTTATCCTCATATATGGTCATACTTTTTCGATTATAACATAGAAATTATCAAACCAATGAATTCTCATTATATTGACTGGTCATCAAACATCAATACTCCTTATTGTGAAATTCAAGTTCGCTCATCTGATGATGTTCGTATTTCGGCAGTAATGAAAGATAGTTCTACAAGTACAAATGTCAAAAATGGTACGTTAGTCAATTTTGATCATGAAGCAGATGTATGGCAATGTCTTTTTGCACCATCAACTATTGGTATTCCATTCGAATTAACTCTATTTGCTAAACGTCAGAATGAAAATGAATCTCATCCTGTTACTCAATTTGTTTTACAACCAATTCCAAGTAATGCTCTAAAAGAATGTATGATATTTCCTGAAATTTATCTTCCATTCTATAATATGAGATGTCACCTAATTGAACCATTAAATGGCGTTCTTCAAAGTGATTCAACTGTTCATTTTCGTTGTCGAATCCCAGGTGCACAAGAAATTAATATAACCGTTGACGACAATTGGATTGAAGGTGATGCATGGAAACCAGATGAAAATAATATATTTGATGGTGACATTCAAGTTGGACAAAAAGAAGTTGCTATATATGTCAAGTTCAATGATGAAAATAGTTCATATCAAGGACTTTTGAAATATACTACATCCTAACGTTTAAATAGGAAAATGAATAATTAATTTTAAGAAAAAAAATATAACAATAAATTGCTCCTGAAAATTTTTAAAGAAAAAAAATATAACAATAAATTGCTCCTGAAAATTTTTAAAGAAAAAAAAATGCTTTTCAGTGAAAGATTGCTAATGATGGGAAGTTCTATGAAATCTAATTACAAACTATTACTGTTGAAAGCTAAAAACGTTTTTTTTTACGAATAGCTGTTAATACTTCGAAATGTTAACATGAGATTTGTATAATATAGAAGTATAACATTGTTTTTTTGTTTCGAGTATCCTTCAAAATATTTTGCTTCTGAGAAAGCCCGTCTGAAGTCGTATGCAAATATTCTGCTTGTTCTTTTACTTTCATGTCTGTTTCTTGATAAGATAAGGTAATCTTATTGGATAATTAGTAGTATATTGCAATAAAAGCAACGAGAAAGAGTTACAATAGAAATAAGTTTGACAACTTTATCGACATTTTTGCCGAGTTGTTGGCTGGTTGTGTCTTAATAAAAAAAAAGCATTCTATCTCATGGGTTGCATGTTTTGCAAGACAAATACAATTATTCCAAGGGTAGTCAATCCCATTGAGGAAGATTCCTTTAAAAATGGCAAATGCACTGAAGAGCAAGGTACTGATATCCAAAACACATCGTTAGAGTTAGTTGAACAAAAAATTAATCAAAAAGTTATAGATGAAAAACCCTCATCTAAATCAAATACGTCTATTAGACAATCACAGATCAATGAAAAACTAGCCTCGAATGATTCTAAAGAAGTAACAACTGTCACTACACTGGAATCGACTGTTTTTACAGAAATCATGTCTAACATAACATCAAGCCAGTTAAATAAATTAAACACACACAATGATATAGATGCTAGTTCAACATCGACCAAATTACAAGAGGTAGTTATGCGTCGAAAACCTGTCAAGGATATCATTGCTGAGTCATTCGTATCAGATATCTCGGACGATATTGATCCTAATGAAACATCGAGTGAGCCACACTGGTCATATACTGATTTTGATGACAATGTCAGTTCATCATCGTCGACTAATACCGAAAAGACAACATTACGTCAAGAAACTTTCGTTAGATTCATATCCGCAAAATCCAAAAATGGCAATGTTAATCGACAATCATGTTCAAATGATATGTTCAGTGATTCAGATGAATCCTATCCATTGTATGAAAGTATTTGTAATTCAACGTCGTCAGATTTTGAAGACTTATCAATACAAGATGAAATTATCGATCAAGAAACATTGATTGATACACAAAAAATGCAAGATCAACAAAACACTATTACTAATGATAACTCGAACGAGCCAGATAAAACTAGTTCTATATCAAGTGATATCGAAAAGATGACGATGCATGAAGAATCTACGATCAAATTTGTATCCTCTCATCTAATACGTATGTCAGATATTCAACAAAAAAAAATTACTTATGAAACTTCAAGTGATTTGACTAAAGTCGAAGTATAGTTGTACTAATGGCTTATCAGTTGATCTATCTTATTTGTTTCCTCACACGGATATAGTCCGTCAAAATTTATACTTTTATTAATTTCATTAAAATAACGAAGAAATAAAAATAAGCATTTTCTAAAAAAATTACAAATAAAAGATCCTTGTGCATGTTAATCAGTTAAATAGAAGATGAAAGAACATATACTTATTGTATTTGAGCATTTATTGATAGAAAGTTTCAATCTTCTTAGAATCAATTTACAACTCAAGATCTTTTTTTATAAAGTAATCTTCAAAGTAATATTCAATATAAAACAACGTACACCAGAGATGAAACCAGTACCAATTACCGGTGTGTTTTATTTATTTTCTCTTATTATCTCATAGAAGATGTGTAATGAAACTTTGTTGAAAGTTGACTATATCAAATATTACTATCCACAGACGGGTATGACAACTCGTCAGTTCAGTATTGGTATGGATTACAGACTGATCCGTCTATCGGTCATAGATGTCCATCATGACTGAGAATCTGCCGCTGCTGCGTCATGACCAAAATTCAATTTTACCGCGCCACTGTGAACTATATAGAAAGTTGCCACTACCGCGAAGGTTTTCAAAAAACCTTTCGAAAATCCCTGTCATCAATGTACTGGATTAGAACTGTTGGTATAAATTCATGAGATTCATCTAGCCTCTGAGTGTTACACTCATGGACACTTGACTCCTGTGCAAATCCATGAAGTTTTGCAATATTTTCTAAAAAGAATCTGCCGCTGTCACCATGGGCATCTCTGCTATCGACGACTGATCGGTAGCTGGTAGAGTGACTTGTCTTGTTCGATCTGATCTAATCATACAGAAAGGTTCTAATTACATAGAATACATAATGTATCACACTTTCTAGCACACAGATGAAAAATCGAGAAATTTATTTAACAATTTTAATATCGAATGATGATTATTTCTTGTTTGAATTTTAAGTGATTGATAGTATAAAATATGAAGAAAAATAATAAGCATAACAGATATATCAAGTAGTAACATACTTTAATTTTGATTTTTAAACATACTCTATGTTCCTGTAATTATTAAAAATATGAATTGGTTTCTTTAAAGACATTCAACAATTTTCAACGATTAAAAACAAAAAAAAGATTTCTCTGTTTATTTTTGCATATATTCTCTCAAAAATTTTTGTTCGAAAATACAAATAAATATATAGAATCTGTTATTATAAAATCTATCATTTAGATATAACAATCATTGTTTTTCATTAGAAAATGAAGTTAGCAATTGAATTAATTTTCCAACCGCTAATCGTTCAGCATCGGTCAATGATGACGAAGAATTTGTTTGAAATTCAAATCTTAATGTAACTAAATGATAAATAATACTTGGTTTTAACCGAGCAATAATATGTGTAAATAATATTGGCCAATTAAGTTCTATACGATTCACCAATGACTAAAATTATAATTAAAAATAACTTATATAGGTATATACAAAATCTTATAAATATACACAATCAATTTTGAATGTTTGTATTATTGAATGGAGACTACGTTTTGATCCACGAAGATTAAGATCAGTAAAAGCACGATCATCATTTGTTGATTTGATATTTAAAGTTTCAGTTGATTGAGCAAATTGTTGTTGTTGTCGTTGTGTATATAGTTGTGAATATGATTTAGGTATATTATAATATTCATCTAAAGCTTTAACATTGAGACGTAACCGAATCTTTTCGAAATTTTCATTAAGAATTTCACATATATTAAACATATATTGTGACCCTATGAATCATCAAATAGAAAAAAAAATATAGATAAAGCAAATTCGGTACAAACTTGTTTGCTCATTATCAAGTTGATCATGTGGAAAACGAAAAAGTGGTGATCTAGAATAAAATTAACTAATATACATATTGACAAAAAACTCATTATCTTACTTTCGATCAAGAAGTCGTTCAATATTATGATAATTGTCCTTCTCATGACCTACGATAACGAAATGTAGAAAAAAAATTAGATAAGAAACTGTAAAGATCTTTAGTATTTTTGGGCATCATTAAAGCAAATAAAACTGATAACAATCTCATGTTGATATATTGCGCACATCTTGCTTGTCATTTCTATTGCAAGGTTTTTTAAGTAGACTATGCCCTTATTAAATTCTTTTGTCGACTCTATTGTTTGTGTTGGCTTTACTTCGGAGCGTGGTCTTAAACTTGATCCAGAATCTAAAGACAATGGATCTCTTTTTAAATCTTCTTTACAATCATCCGTATTGGCTATTGTTACGGCTGATCGTGCTATATATCCACAAGCACGTGGTAGTGAATTTATTGATTCATGTTATCCACCAATATGTTATACAAGATCACATTCATTTACAGCATCATCTATTAGTTCAGGTCGTTCAACGCCTCTTTCTTCTTTAGCTAATGGTGTAAGAACTCAAAAACAACATATTATACCAGCTGTATATAATAATTTACCACTATTCTGTTTTTCTGATGGTGTCCGAATAACATACGAACGAGAAGATGAAAGCATTCATCATATTGTATTTACACAAGAAGAAGGCAAACGAATTTATGCTCTGGCACTTACATTTCAACAATCATTTTGTCTTAAAACAGATAAACCTGATGATGAGGGTACATATCAAATTGAAGATGTTAAATTATCAACATCAAATACAAGACATTCAAGTTTATCAAAAATTCCAGTACCTATTGAGAGACAAAAACAAGCTTCATCACCAACAACAGTTAAAACACGTTCAAAACAAATTCCTTCATCATTTAATTATTCTAATCCAAATTCTACTAGTCAACCACGATCATCATCTAATTCTAATAATTCGACAAAACAACCTCGTTATGTATCACACACTATTAGTAGTTATATGAAAAAGTTCGTTGTTAAATTTTTTTTTTTTCATATTATCTTCAATTTATTCTATTTTAGTTTATCATCCACAGTTGCACCTCCACCGACTCGTATGATACGTACAAATAGTCAAAATAGTTTATCATCCTTAAATGAAACTTCAAGTAGTCTTAGTAGTACTACTACTGAAGTACGAAGACGTTCTACTTCGAATACATCTCGAACATTATCAACGAATATAACATCACCTGATACAACAAAACCATTCTATTTACCACATTGTATTGTTCTTGTTTCTAATCAACCATATTGGACTGCTATGCAAGAAACAATTTCAATTATTCATGATGAAATAATTCGTTCAAAAATTGAACCAAGTGCAAATACATATAAACAATTAATACAAAAATATGCTTTTCTTGCTTGTAATACACCAATACCACCAATACCATGGGAACGTTTTTCATTATCATTTAATTTAACATATGATCAATCTGTATTAACATTTGATTCACCAATAGATACAAATCATCCAGTACTCGATTTAGATTTATCAATTCTTCTTTTAACACTTAATATTGGCAAATTACTTGATGTATTAGCAGCAATATTTACACAACAACCAATTATTTTTTTTAGTTCAAATTATTCAATATTAGTTACAACACTTGAATGTCTTCTCTATTTAATTTATCCATTAAAATGGGCTCATGTTTATGTACCATTTGTACCTGATGGTTTATGTGATTTGTATCTTGAAGATCCACCTGGTTCATATATCATGGGTGCACATTCACGACATCAAACAATTGTTGAAGATCTTGATATAAGTTTTACATGTAATTTAGATAATGATAGAAATATTTATGTACCAAAAAAAATGGAATTTTATCATTTACCACCAAGTAAACTTCAACGTTTTGTTGGTCGAATAACAGAATTTGTTGAAAATATTAAAGTTTCACGTTCATTACAAAATGTTCATACACCAATTCGTTTACGTATTGATCAACAACGTGAATATGAACGTCAACAACGTACTGAAACAAATCATAAAATAATAAAAATCTTTCTTGATTTAATGGTTGATTTATATGGTGATACATTAAAACCAATTTATTGGAAAGTAAATTCTCAACAATTAAGTCCAACAAATACATTAACAAGAACATCAAGTATTGGTAGCAAAAATTCTAATCAAAATCAAACTAAAACAACATTTAGTAAAGAAAAATATTTACTTTCGAAAACTAAAGGTTTTGAATTAGAATTTTATCGAGCATTTATTGAAAGTACAGCATTTCAACATCTTATAGAAGAAGAAATGACATCAACATCACCAACTGTATTTAAACAAATATGTGAATTACATTCATTATCAAATGAAAAACAACTTTATCATGTTAATAATATATCATCAGAAGAAAATGAACATAATCAAGTAAATATATTAAAATTCAATGTAAGTTTTCATCTTATTTAGTTTTTGTAATATTTAGATTGAATCAACAACTACATTATATGATTTATATTCTTCTCAAATGTTATTACCATTACCATATTGGCCTTTAAATACATCAACACATTATTTAGATAGTTGTATCGAATTATTTACTAGTGAATTAGAAAATGCACAAAAAGAACGTTCACCAGTTGTCATAACCGTTTATGCTTATCTACGTGGTTGTGCATTGTTAGCTCGTGGTCAATATCTTGATGGTCTTCGTGATCTTTATTTAATTGAAAATCCAAATCTATTTCCATATGATTATATTGACCGAATCATTCTACCTCGTCTTTCTGAGGAATGTTTACTTGAATTATTTCTTAACGAACCATATTATACAAAATCTCCTGAATGGAAAAAAGTTAATATACATTCAATATCTCAGAATATGACAATAATTGATCTTGAAAAAAGTGGAAATTCATTAGATGATGCAACTCCTGTTCAATCAGCAACTGAAGTTGATCTTAATAATGAATGGGATCATTCAGAAAATGCTCTTACATTAGAACAATTTAGTGAACTTGTACATCGTTTAAGTATTGTACTTGATAAAGAGACAACAGAAAAATTATTCAATGCTTTGTTATATTGGACAGATAATTCAATAGCAAAAACATTAAAAAAAGATAAAACATTGACAAATAAATCTTCTGAAACAATGAAACCATTAGCTAGAAGTTGGTCAATAACAACAAATACTTTAAAAGATACATTCAGTATGCTTAATGATTATCGACGTGGAAATCAAAATGCAACACTTTCATCTAAGTCATCAATAGAATCTAATCCAGGTTTACCTGCAACATTATTTGAATCATTTCTCGATATTTGGCAACAAACAAATGCTGAAAAAGTTCGAATGAATCGTTATTTACCCGGAGATCGACAAAACAAAGAATCAATTTTAAAAGTAAAATTTTTGAAAATCTTTATATTACATATAAACCAACAAAAAATCTCATTTTTAGATTTCATCGTCG